CCATGGATCCATCCTCGTCTGGATGGCTGAAGAAGTCTTCAAGGTAGGGTTGGGCCCATTCCAATGCTGCTCCTCTGAGGTACGATATAGCGAAGATTGATCGTGAGTTGTAGTTGTCACGGAACTTCTCGACGTTGAAGTTAAAGTAGATGTCCATTTGGAGAAGGAACGAATCGAGTTCCGGTCGTTTCCCATGATAAGTATCTGGCATCTTGACTCTGATAGTCTCAAGCGCCTCAACCTTGTATGGTTCAGGGGCGTCTGGCATGTCGTCGTCGTCATCGTCATCGTCCGGGGCCTTGCTCTGACTGTTTGCAGGTGTCCCGGTTGGTGTGGCTACAGGAGCGCTCGCAGCGGTTCCTGAGCTAGCGGGGAGGTTGACTCGGCTAGCACTCGGGCTAGCAGCTGGGGCAGTTGGCTTGGGGGTTGCGGGAGCCATGGCGACTGAACTTCTAAGCGGGTGCTCAAAGTGTGACGAAACTCAAACTATCTAACAAAAGTAATCGTTCCGAAGGTTGGTATGCAGATAAGAAGATCAGATGCGCCGGGTTGTTTACTCGGAGGTAAACTCGTCACTTGTACAAAGTCGTCAAAGTCAAAAGGTATTGATAACTAAGTAAACTAAGTTGAGCACGAAGCTCCTATCTAATGGCAGACATGCCATCTTATATAGAACCTTCGTTCCCATGTGGATCTGAGGATCCCCCAGATCCCTTGTCTGGATCCTGGGATCCTCAAGATCCCAAGATCCATCACGTGACTACATACAATGAAATCCTTGGATGGAGCAGCAAGCCTGCCCCACCCTTCACTTGCTATAAGAGCCCAATGATAGTGCTTAACCTGTCAGGACGCCGCCTGGTCTTCACTCGTCACATGCTAACACGTGATTCGTGACAATAAAGTGTATACAGCTTTTGAATCAATTGCTAGAACTAAAACCGTAGGTACGAAGAAATCAAACTAAAGAGAGAAGAGAATCTGAAAGGAGCGAAGTTATTTAAGTTGTTCCAATGCCAAGTCTCGTCACGTGCTTGGCCAAGCGAATGAAATCCTGTCAAATGAAATCCAGCTCCGTCACAAATCCTAGGGCTATAAGAAGAATCATATATTATTATTAACTATTATAGAGGATAAAAATAAGACCTCGAAAGTAGAGTATATCTAAATAAAAGATTAGATACTACCTATACTTTAATACTATAAACTATACTACGAATATAGTAACTATACTATCTTTCGAATAAGGCATAATCTAGTAGGGGAGTAAAGTAGTAAGCTTTATAATAACTAGGCTAAAGAGGTAGGTATATATATAGAATATACTATAACTACCTTATAATAATAGAATAGTATAGTAGAAAGACTAGTTTAAACTATTATAGACAAGGTATTACTAATATTATTAGATAGTACCCTTAATAAAAGATATTAGACTAAAGCTATACGAATAGCGAATTACCTTCGAAATAGATTACCTATTACCTTACTTAAAAAGACCCCCTACGAGGTATAAACTAGTATAAAACCTAATCTTAAACACCTAGTACCCTTCGGAATAAATTACTTATTCCGGAAAGGCTTTTAATATAAAACGTTAAAACTCGAAAGTAAAGCCGAGTAGGGTATTATAGTAGGCTATAAGGGAGACTATATATATTAAATCTGTCGGTATATAATTCTGGTGAATAGCACCTCGTACGAGAGTGTAACGAATACTCAAACTGGCTAACTAAACTTGGCTGGGTGTTCGCTGGTTGGTATGCTATGATAAGAAGAAGACTATCGGGTTGTTCACTTGGAAGTGAACTCGTTACTTGTATCAAAGATGTCAAACTAATATGATAAAATTGATAACTAAGTTGAGCACGAAGCTCCTATCTAATGGCAGACGTGCCAGTCTTATATAGAACCTTCGTTCTCTCGATGTTCGCTCGTTCGACAATCGAACTGGCTAACTTCGCCTGTTCGCCCGGCTAACTGGCGAACTCCTAATATCACGTGATAACAATACAGAGAAATCCCTGGATCGCTTAGCTACTCCAAACGATCCCTATTTGCTATAAGAAACCTGGATGTGCCTTTCGAGGGTTGCGCCTCTTATTATGACAAGTATCACGTGAACACGTGATTCGTGACAGAGAGCCTGGTAGACCTATATACTTTAGGTCATGTGAGTGTCTTGCTACTCACATACTTAAGTCTGTAGAGTACCACCTCTCTTTACCTTTACTCTTCATACACGAATGAATACAAAGAGAGATTATGTTTGTGCATCACCCTTTACGACAACCAGGTCGTACCAACAAAATCCTTTATAAAGGTCGAATTATTCGCTATACTAATATCTAGTTCTCGCTTAAAAAGTATACTTTACTTATACCTAGGAGCGATTTAGAAGAATTATAAGAATTATACCTTATAAACTCTCTCTAAGACACCGAAATTATAGTAGAAACTATACTAATTAAACGAGATACTATTAACGTCTCTAAAGAATTAGATTCTAATAGAACTAGTAATAGCCTAGATAATACCCTTAATAACGTAGATTCTATAAATATAAAAGTTTCCTAGCTACTATATAATTTATGTAGTAAGTTAACTATAAAACTCGAATATATAATTTCTTCTAATATAAAAGAGAGATATTTAAAGATAAGCTAAACTCGTAGGCTTTACTCCTAGATATAAAGATATAGGAACCTAAGGAACTAATAACGTATAGAAACGCTATATCGTCTCCTAAATTAACTTAGTAGATAAAGTTAATAAAGGATAAATATAACTCGCTTATTACTAATAATACCTAGAACTTATTCTTATTACTACTAAATCGAAAGGCTCTTAGTAGATAATAGGTATATAAAATTAGGCGAGACTCGATAGGTAGAATTACACGGTATAAAGCTTACTAGGTAGTATAAGGATTCGCTTAATAAGAAGGTATTACTTATAACGAAACCTTTATATTAGTTATAAAGCCTATAACGTATAAGGCCCTTTTTGCCTTTATAGCCTCGGAGGACCTAGAAATCGAGTAAATAGATATAAAAACTACCTTTTTATATAGTAAGGTTAAAGAAGAGATATATATAAAATAATCTACAAGTTTTAAGATAGATAATAATAAGGTATATAAATTAGTCAAGGTACTATATAAACTAAAACAATCCTCCTAAATCTAGTATAAAATACTTATAGAGAAACTATATAAACTCGAATTTAAACTACTTTCCTTGTGACGGTTCTAACCGCCACTACACCTCAGACCAGCCCCTGGCTGGAACCCAGCGGATACCGTGCTTCCTGAGCCCGGCTCAGTTAGCCATAGCTTGGCACAACCTCCTGTATATAAGAACCTCTGGCTCCCGAGCTCTGCTCTCTTCTCTTCTCTCCTTAGCTTAGAATCTTCGAATAGACAGTTCTACGATTCCATAACCTACACCTTGGACGCTCCTTGAGCAACATATCGTACGTGTCGTCACATTCCTCTAGCCCTAGTATCTTTAAAAATAATTAAATGCTCCTTACTATATACGTCGATAATATACTAATAATAGGACCTAACTCGAAACATATATCTATACTAAAAGCTTTACTTATATAATAGTTTAATATAATAGATATAGGGCTTATATTATACTTCCTAGGAATTAGAATAACTTATTAGAAAAATAAAATTATCTAATTAGACTAAAGGGTATATATTAAGTAAGTATTAGATTGATTTGGTATAAGTAATTATAATCTATTTATTCTACTAATAGATCTAAACTATTACCTTAAGCTAGCTCTCCCCGGATTAGACGCGGAACTAGAAGTAATTACTAAATACTAGTAAAAATTTAGTAGTATATATATAATACTAGAAACGCGTCTAGATATAGTATATCTAGTCTTAGTACTTAACTACTATTTCTACTAACTAACGAAAATATATAAACAAGTGCTCTCTAAAAGTTGTTCTAATACCTTAAAGGTATACTTAATCTTATACTTATTTTCGAAGGATAGTATATAAAACTCTAAGGATATATAGATACTAGCTAGGCGGATAATAAAAATACTAGCCGATTAACATTAGGATACTTATTTAATCTCGGAAGTAGAGCTATATCGTAGAGCTTAAAATAATAAGCTACTATAGCTCTATTAACCTACGAAGCCGAGTTATTTAGTTAAACTTTAGCTAGAAAAGAAGCTATTTAGCTTTAATAATTACTCTAGAAACTCGGTATTTAAAACAAACGATAAACCTATACTTATATTCGCTAATAACTAAAAGGCTATTACGCTATCTAAAAACCCTTACTATATACCCTAGATAAAATATATTAGAATCTAGTATTAATAGTAATAGGAATAAGTAGAATTTAGTACAATTATATAAAAATATACCCCTATAAACTATATAGCTACTAATAAAGTCTTATAAAAGCTCTCCTATAAGAAGGGTTGTATAAATTTAGGGATATACTAGGATTAAGAATCTAGGAATAGCCTTACTTTTCGTGGTACGGATTAAGGAGGCTGTTAAAATTACGTAATCCGTCCTACTATATTATGCCTACTTTATTAAAGACTCTTTGTTAGCTAGCTATATATAAACTAGCTGTATCTATAGTAGAATAATCAAGCACTTAACCAGCTTCTCATTTACCATATTTTATCATTTTGTCTATCTAAGTGTTGTCCGGCTACTGTAGAAAGCCATGCAGTTACGCCAGTAATGCATCAAGAGTCCAATCATTGACTCCCTCCCTTCCTCATAAAAATGCAAAAGAAAAAAGCGTGTATGGGTATCGCAAAGTCAACTGTTTGTTCCGTACAAGAAAGAAAAGGAAAGAAAGAGCGCATCGAAAAAAGTAGCGCCAGGCAAGAAAGGTGGAAGTGAAAATCCCCAATCTTGAAGAAAATAAACTGGACTAAGCAAACCAGTTGCCCAAATCCTCGTCAAAAAGACCCTTACACTAAAAGGTTCTAAGCGAGGAGAGAGTCTAAGCCCAGTTTCCTCCACGAATCATCTTCGCAGCTCCTCCACACTTGCCGAAAGCAGATTGACATCCAGTACCACAGTGCTGAGGACTCATTCCACAGAATCCGTCCTTGGAGCAACAGGCTCCTCCACCGCAGGATTTTGAGCCTCCACATGTGCCATCGGTTGATGCAGTCATGGCTCCGCCTGGTGCTGGTGCTGCAGGAGTGGAGTTTCCACCGCCTGAAGATGGTGCTGGTGTTGGAGAGGACGCAGGTGGGTTGACAGGGACGATGGTTTGAGAAGGAGAGGAAGCTGGTGCTGATGGAGACGATGGTGCTGCTGGTGCTGCTGGTGCTGATGGAGACGATGGTGCTGCTGGAGCTGCTGGAGCTGGTGGAGAGGAGTTTCCACCGCCAGAACCTGGAGCTGGGGCGGGAGAAGATCCTTTGGCACCGCAGTCTCCATCCAAGGACGCAGCGTTGCTTTTCGTCTCTTTCTTGGTTACGTCTGGACCTGGGTCTGGGAATTCTGCTTCTGTGCCCTCTTTAACCTTGCAACTGTTGGTTCCGATGTTGGCAACGAACAAACTTGGGCGTTGGTCAAAGGCGACAGCTGGCTTGTCTCCAGAACCTTTGGCGATGTTTACAGAGGCGCAGTTCATGTACATTTCTCGATTTCCGACGGTGTTGAACCAAGTCCAGGCAAATAATGCAGTTCCTTCCTTTGCGTCGGATGGAATCTTGAAAGGGAAGCTGGAGCTACTGTCGAGAGGACATGAGCCGATAAATGAGTGGATGACTTTGAAGTTTTTGCCTTGGTCGTATGAGAGAGCAGCTTGGCAAGAACCCCCTCCGTGGGCTGCGCCTCCAACGATGGTAAAGTTAGCGTCTCCTCCCTGTGTGAAGGTGGCGGTTGGCTTTCCAGCACCGTTGGCGTCGGCCATATCAGTCTGGTATCCCTTGCAAGGGAACTGGGCTGAGCCGGAGAGAGGAGCAGTCATGGAGAAATCCGCGTTCTTTGCGTTCGGATTTGTTTTTCCTCGAAGTGGTGCTGGGAAGGACATCTCCATGTGTCCAAAGGCAGTTGAGCCAAAGGCCAAGGCGGCGAGAAGAGTTGTGTATTGCATTTTGAAAGTTTGATGTATGTTGATGGTTTTGATATGTATGGCGTGTGTGTGTGTTGGTTATGTAGTTTGTGTTGAAGGATTTGAGAGAAAAGATAGCAGCGCAGCAATGGGTATAAATATAAGCTGTGAAGCAAAAAAACAGATACAAAGGCTTTGTTATGAACAACTTGTTGGTGACTGAAAGAATGCAGACGACGAATGAGTGAAACAAAAGCAGACACTTGTTACCAGAACAAAGATGCGTTTGTTGAAGATAATTCCAGAAAGCTCAACTGAAAGAACTAGACAAAGACTTTATAGAACATTGTTTAATTCAACAAAACTGGAGTAAACTCGAAAAATCACGAAATGATATTGAATGGATAGGAAAACGGCCGATAGAAGTTTCAGAGAGATGTCCCTGCCAGCAAACCGCATTGGGATCAACACATCGTAGTTGCTTCGACGAGTAGTCTTGCAGAAGCGACTCGGTTGACGGTTGTATAGCGCCCGGGTGGCTTGCACGGACATTTGAGGGGCAGCATCTTGTCCTGAAGATCTGCGTACCCATGATGATCCATAGGCTGAAAGTTCAAGAGCTGTGGGCTTTGGGCATGGGTAGTCCACAATTCGTTTTGCAGAACCAGAACAGAGAAACTTTCCACAATTGTTGTTGGTGTGTCATGGTGAGCCACATCAAAAAAGGGGCAGTGGCGGCTTCGCTCTCAGCCAATGAAGTGTTATGAAACATGAAAGCTCAAGCGACCACTACCTTACGTACCGCCGCAGTGGATTGATCGCGAAACAAGCGGGGAAACACTCCACCAGGGTCGAGGTGGAGTCAAAAAGCGCCATCGTGGCTAGAGAATGGATACGAGGATTGCTCATCGCCACGAAGACTGCAGAAGTTGTTGGTTGATGTGGATTCAGGTACGAGTGGCGCCCGTTCGTTCTTCACCGCGCAACCTTCCTTTGCCGTCATGCTAGGTAAGGACATTTTGCGTCAACCGAGCCGTTGCGATGCGATGCCAGATGTAGAACAGAGCATGCGACAGAGATGGAACATCACTCGACAGAAAATGAGGTTATTCGCAAGTGCACACAGTTTGTGTTTTGACCTTTGGAGGTTCAGCTGCGTTGGTTGAGTTGTGAAACCCCTTACCCCCATTAGGTACTGTAGCCAGCCAGAAAAGGCTTTTTTCTCCTATGCCGTGCCCTAATGCAAGGAAGCAACCTTAAGTCATTAATCAAGCATTAGGTCAAGAACATCCCCTGAAATTAGTTCTTGATGGCCAGAAACCATAGATAGAGAGGACGAGAGGGGGAAATGGGTGGAGATATAAATACTCCTACCCAGCCGTGCGTGTGTGACCTACTACTCCTACACTCCACCTACTCTACTCGAGTACTTGAGCGTCAGTAATCATGTCTTGGCATGAAGTCTCAACCAGACTGAGAATCTGAGATGAAGAATTGAGGCAAAAGTGAAGGTGCGATGTCAAAATCTCACCAGAAATTCCAGATGACAGGTTCCGTTGCGCAAGGGAGGGAACGACCGTAAAGGTCGTTTAAGGGTGTGTGACGTTGTCCAGGAGCCAGAATTTTGTGGTCCGTCCATACATTTCAGGCAGGGAAATGCTGACATTACGACCACTTCAAAGGACACTAAATTAATACAAAGAATGGTCTTCTCTACAATGAGGTTGATTTTGACTTTTCTTTCAGAGTTGAAAGACAAAAACAAGCCTCCAGCTGGAATATACTTTCCTGTCACGTGCAATAAACGTGACATGATTTTCTCAAGGTCTCTGAGGTCCAGGTTGCATCAGATAAAAGAAAAGTAGTAGAAACTAATTTTCTTTATGTCGACGTAAGTCTAATATATTTGGTTATTCTCAAACAACAATCGTTCTTGAGGCTTTGGTCAGCGGAATTAGAATTAATGTGGAAGGTTAGCTAGGATGACTGAGGGAAGGTGCTAGGGTTGAGACGTACATTGGGAGTTGTCTACCTTGTCCAGCAATATCAAGTTGCAGAGTGAAGGGCAGAGTGAGGGATCTCTCTAAAGGTCTAATAGTTCTAGATTTTGTAATTGTACCGTACTTGGCATAACCATCCTTCATTGGATAATACTTAGAATCTGGCGAGTCTAGTACCAACTTGACTATATCAAAACAGTAATAACACGAACTGTAGGGATAGAACTTCCACTACAATCTGCCAACCTAGTACAATACCTATTAGATAATTTCCTACCTCTACGTCAATTTACGACACCCCCGTACCTCATACAGGCACTATCTACGAGCCTGAGAGGTGAATAGGTAAGTAAAGTGCAAGATGTCGTCAGACCCACGTTTTGTAACTCTAGAAGCATGTGGGAGGGGCTGCCAAAAAACAACCAAAGTTTACAGTGCGTCTTCACTGCCCCGTTATAAACGGTTATCTCTATTCACTATCCTATTTTAAGCTTAAATAGGCCAAGAAGAATGGAACTGTGTGATCTTGCTTATAGCGTCATTGACATGTGCTCTAACCAAAGTGAATTGGGTGTTTCTTTCTCGCGAAATTTTCACGTGGTGGACAAACAATACGGACGGGCCCTTAAGTGAATATGAACTAAAAAAGGAAATTCAGGGTAATACCAAAGCTTTCTCATTCACCAAATACTCCCAAAATGCCATGTGCATCTCTTTATTCACTGGTAAAAGTAATAGAGCAAGAACAGTGTGGAACGAAATACTGGAAAGGGCCAAAAGCCAAGGTAAGCAAGCCACATATGCTTTTACATTGTGTATGAAGATTTGAATGAAGGATTTGAAGGAAGGAGAATCAGGAATACATCAGGGTACTGTTCCTGGTGGCAGTGTTTACATGTGCTCACAATGGGTATAGTGAAGTAGAAGCTTTTTCTTTTCGCTTAAGTCCAGAAGATCTGATGGTACGATATCCATCAATTTTTGCAACAAGATCAAGTATGCAATCTACCACTAAATAATTTTCCAGAACTGGTGGTCGTATTAGAATGGTGTTACTAGAGCGTCTACAAACAAAGTTATAAGTGCATGTTTTGGATTTTATGATATTAAACTCAAATTTCAATAACTTCCTGTTGCCTCTTTCTTATTCGTACACTCCACAAGCTTCTTCTCAATTGCCAAACACTTGAGCGTGAAGGAAGTAAGCCACTGATGCATCTGGGCGATAGCCCTTTACATTGAATCTCAATACAATGCACATTTCTATTCACTTCATTTTGCATCTAATACAAGAAGTAGAAAACCCGGAATATGGCTTCCTACCCCCTCTCGCCTCAAAGCCATGCCAAGTCCTGGCAATCCAAGGGCTGTACAGGTTCTGAAAAGTTGTCATGCATGCTCCATGTCGCTGGCATAGCTCATTGTACAGAATACTGGCTTGCAAGTATCTCCAATCCAAGATATCAAGCCTAAATTCCCAGTATCTGAAGACATTCTGAGAAGCTGGTGGCGTTGGAATAGTTCATTGTGCCGAAAACTGGTTCTCAAGTATTTTCAACCAAGATATCCAGCATGTTCTATCAAGGCATTAAGGGACAACGTCCTTGACGTATACCATGACATAGCATCAGGAACAGCCCACCAGAATAGCATAAATATCTCAAGGCGCACCCTCTTTTCAACCTCTTTCTTCTCATCTACAATCAACTTCTTCAGCGAACTTCTTGTCTTCAATCAAGCAACTACTTCTCAAACAAAACACTTTGTCTTCAATCAACAGTCCACTTCCCAAACAAGCTTCTTGCCTTCAATTGCAATCATCTACCTCTCAGATACCAAACAGTATCCAGAACTCAATTGAGACATCAACCAATCTATCAACATGCAAATCACAATCTTCCTTGTTGCTTTCTCCTCTCTTCTCACATGCGTACGTATCCATCATCCTCCCCTCACCCAATTAATCTGTCTCCTCCGGTGATCGAGCAAACTAACAACAGATCTCCCATCCCCAGATCCAGCTAAGGAGCGAGCTGTACTTACTCCTCGAAGCAAAGTGAGTTTTTCCCCTGCCATTAGCCTCGTTCCATCATCCAGAAACCCATCAATCAGAGAACATAAAAAAACAGCATCAAAGTATGCACACACTAACCAAACTCCCAGGGCGGACTTACATGCCTTCCCTCCCCCTCACTTTCAGACATGCGGCCCGCAAAGGCAGAAAACATCCAACTCAGAGCCGATCAATTGAAGAGCCGCGATGAGTGTGGTGTAAATCCAAACTCTTGTATCCAGGTGGCCTGCAATAACGGAGATGGAATTTATCTATGTAACGATGTACGTATTCCTTTTATCCTTTCCATTCGAGGGGTTAGCTAACGTGGAAATTAACAATAGGATTACTCTCAGGCCAAGTTCAAGTGCAGCGATGTTGCCGCTTACGCTTTGGATATCAAGGATAACCGTCCAGCTACTGGTGGTGGTGTTGGTGGGCAGGTGTTTGATACTGATCGTTGTAAGTCTTGACACAAATTCTTGGGTTTTCTTGACCACAATACACCTTCCTATCGTATTCAGAAAGCTTACTTTACTGTGTCTTTTAGGGTCTGTTTCTGTTCACCAGGGATCTTGTTCGTAGAACATGGAAACACAGGAAAGACGGACGGCGGTTATGGTATACTAGGGTCTTTCGAAATCTGGGATCTGTCATTGGGTCATTCCATTCCTAAATTTCTCTTGCTTTTCATAGAGAGGTGATTACTTAATCTCAGCTGTACTGAATGTAAATTACAACATCTTTAATTCTTCACAATTACCCTTTGTGTGTGAATGAGATACATGGATATGTGACGATCCATCACGATTTTTAGAATCTTGGAGAAGCCCCTCGATAGAAAGACCATGCATTGCCGGACCGTCACGGAGTCTTGAAGAAGGAAGTAATGGTGACTGTGAATGCATGCAGTCAATTCCTACAACTAAATCCTGAGCCAAAGTTGTTTTGCTTTGAGAACGAAAATTAAAATGACAAACGTACAAGAACTGATGAAGCATATTGCCCAAAATCTCAAGTATTTCTAGGCCCAGATATCCCCCTAAGCTGCAAATCAGAGAATCTAGTTCGAGGAAATCTAAACGAGAGCGAGAAGGAACGTACTGTAACTTACGCCAAAAGAACACCTATATAACCACCACAAAACACACTCTCACTTCCACTTCCACAAGAATGAAGACAATCCAATCAAAAATCTTGATTTCTAATCATCCTAAGTCTACCAAAGCCATAATCCCCACTAATCCCCAATAAAACAAAAAAAAAGCAAGCCCCAAAAGAAACACCCCAGAAAAACTCCCTCGCTGATGCCTCTTTCGCAAGAATCGGATATTCGGGCCTTTCCCATCCGTCCAATTAATTCTAAAACCCGCATCCTAAAAATCATTCCTCTCCCTCAACCTCCAAATCCTCAAATCTCGCAACCCTAAAGCCTACCCAAGGAATTCTACTTCTCAGCAGAAGACTACTACAAACCACACTAATACTACTAGCCGCCATCGCCAAACTCGCCCAGACCGGATCAAGACGGACATGCTTTCCATCTTTCTCGAGCGGGTACAGCACGCCTGCCGCGACGGGAAGCGCAATCATATTATAGACCAAAGCCCAGACAAAGTTAAATTTGATTCTTCGGAAGACAAAGCGACTCAGGTCCAAAAGAGTGATGAGGGAGGTCAGATTACTAGAAACGAGCACGAATTCCGCGGACGAGATGGCGATGTCAGAGCCTGAACCGATGGCGATACCCACATCGGCTGTCGTAAGGGCAGGAGAGTCATTGATTCCATCTCCCACCATAGCAATAAGTGCTCGTTTCTCGATGTGGTCTTTACCCGAGGATGTAGTGGCTTTGAGACATTTCTGAAGGTAGCGGATTTGGTCTGCTTTCTCACTAGGCAGGACCCCTGCAATGATGTTCTCAGCTGGGATTCCTACTTGTGCTCCGATGGCATTGGCTGTGATCTGATTGTCTCCAGATAGCATCCAGACTGCAGTACCTCGTATCTGAAGAGCTTGAATGATACTTGGTGCCTCGGGCCGAATGGGGTCAGAAATGGCGAAGATGGCTGCAAGTTCCCATGATCCCGGTTTCTCCGTCGAGGTAACGGCTGCGAGTGCAACCGATCGACCTTGTGATTTCCATGATTCCAATACCGCCTGAGTAGATACGGAAATAGCTACATTGTTCTCATTCATCAGCACTTCGTTGCCGACTAACATATGCACCTGCTCCGACTCGCGAACGGAAAATGTGCCATGCATTCCCTTGCCAGCGATCTCATCGATTTGACCTAAACTTGGACTCTGTGTTTCTTGTTCGTTGCAGAATGTCTTGATTGCTTTGGCGACGGTATGGCTACTGTTTTCTTCGATGGATCTGATCATTCCAAGGATCGTGCTATCAGAAATTGTACCATCCACTCCGAACTTGGCAGTTACAGGAAAAATCTTTGAATCGGTAATAACGGGTTCACCACCAACCGTGAGAGTTCCGGTTTTGTCGAAAACAATGCAGTCCAGTCTACTAGCTTTCTCAAATGCTTCACCACCACCTTTGACGAGAATACCGTATCGGGCAGCAAGACCCCCGCCAACATAAAGAGCAGTTGGTGCAGCGAGAGCCAACCCACAGGGACAGGCCACGACAAAAACAGCAATGGCAAATTGAAGAGACCAAGCAGTCCATCCACCAGAATCCTGTTCCCGCCAGTGTTTAGGTAACGCTCCTGAGAGACCCAGTGATAACCAAGTGATCCAAGTGATGATTGCAATGAGTGTGACAGCAGGAACAAAGTAACTGGTCAGAGAATCCGCAATGCGTTCTATCGGAGCACGACGGGTCTGTCCTTCGCGAACTGCTTTAACTATTTGATCAAGCATGGACGAACCAGCAACGCCCGTAATCTTGATAGTTACCGGTGAACCCTTGTTGACTGTTCCAGAAAAAACCTCGTCACCGATGACTTTCTTGACGAGTCTTGACTCTCCTGTAAGACTGGATTCGTCAAACTTGGTCTCTCCTTGGATAAGAGTTCCATCACAAGGCGGCGAACCACCGTGAAGTACCTTCACAGTATCGCCAAACTCAAGAAGATCCACGTTGACTGTATTTAGTTTTTCCGACTGCGGCATCTTACTATTCGATTCCACGGTAGTAGTTCCGCCAATTGACTCGGAATCGCTTGCTAGAGGACTAACCAGCAATGCTACTGTAGGTCTGAGTTTCCCAAGCATAGTAACAGCATCTCCAGTTTTCGATTTACTATATGATTCGATAAGGCGCCCAATGAGTAGGAATAGAGTAAGGAATACCACGGAGTCGAAATAAAACGTGCTCTCGTCGATCGGTTTCATCGGTTCTAAAGAGCGCCATAAGCTAGCAGCAACGCCGGCAGCAATAAGTTGTGCTGTGGATGAAATATAGGCGATCGAGGTTCCAAGTGACATTAGCATATTCATGCTTCCAAATCGAAGGAATCGTTGCAAATATGGTGTTTTGCTCCCTCGTCGCCACATCGCCCGGACCTCTTTGAATGCTCGAACGTGGAAAACGTCTGCGCATAGAAAATAAACTGGTGTTGCCATGATGAAGAGTGCCCATTGTGCTCTACTAACACCAGCGTGAAGTGGTTTCATAAGCCACATTCGACTATGATTATCTTTGCTAACCAGACTCATATACACAATGCCAATAACCAGGGTGGGAATGGCAATCACGAGCGTAAGAATGACACGAATGAGGATCCGCAGCTGTTCCCGCCTATGAAGTTGTCTGGATCGTTCTTCAAGCGTGGGAGGGTGGTATATTGAGGAAATAATGGAAGGGTCCACTGCAGAAATTGTCTCGATGATGGTGCGGATTGTGAATGTGGGTGCGTCCGGGGTGTAGCTGAGCTTGAGAATCTGGTTTTGAAGATTCAAAGATCCATCAATTTTGACATTGTCCCCCAGATCTTCGATTGCTTTCATAACTCTACTCGGGCAGTGTTGGCAAAACATACCATCCACCAAAATCTCGACATTCCGGCGGACGACAGCTTTTGGGGCTGCTTGATAGAGGTTTTCGATATTGACAATGTTATCAACCACGGCATCGAATCCAAGGTCCTCGATGCTTTCCACGAGGCGATCCTTGTTCTTTTCCTCGACAAAATCAATCGTTGCACTATTGGAAATTAGATTGACGATGACCTTCTCAATCCAATCTTTTTTCTCCAGTTCCTCGGTGATGGTCCCAACACAAGCAGCGCAAGTCATGCCACCAATCGCTAACGTCGCTCTGAATTTCTCTCCGGGTACTGGAACAATGACCAAGGAGGATGTCGGGGACTTCTCCATCTTTGGCCTTTGAGCTCCATTTTCACCGGAGTTGGAGGGAAGGGAAGTTGAACTTGAACTGGGACCATCTTGTCCTTTATTGTCTAGTAAACGACACGCTTCACAATTATCAATGTGCCGAGCAGGATATTTTGATTTTACCGGTGAATTCCTGTCGGACGGGAATTTATGAATGAACCGGTCGAGGTAACCAATATCATTGTTGCTCGTGACATGTGTCTTGTGTTCCGGTCCCGGCTGTGATGAATCGTTTGTCATGTCGCATATGTCGAACCCCGCCTGTTCTAGGGTGTTTTCGAGCTGGTATATGGATAGTCCTTCCTCGTGGATGACTGTCACGGATGAAGACAGAACCGACGGTGCTACGGACATCGGTGGCGGGTCAAGGCAATGGAGTACTTCTTTGATATGAGACACGCATGAAGGACAGTGCAGGTTGGACAATAAGAATGAAGTAGTGGTCACTTTATGTGTCCGAAAAGTTGACGAAGACGAAGTCATCGTGAGTTGATTTTGTAGTCCTCGAGGCTTCGGGGTCGGGGGCAGAGTAGGCAATAAACGACTTGGGAAGGAACAAACGTGAGGACGTACTCAAGTAGAGATGGTCGTGCAAGGAGGGACGAAGGAAATAAAGATCTTATAACGAATCCTAATCCAAGCACTTGCATGGAAGGGCTGACTATTCCATTCACTGACTTTATGCACAAAATACGCAAATCCAACTAGCGTGGCAAACGAAACACGCAAAAACATCGCAATGCGGCACAAAAGACGCAGATGCTTAAGTGCTTACTAATTCTCCACGGCCAATCAAATTTTGATTTACATTAAGTGGGTCCGGAAAAAGAGGTCGATTTTAGGCATGGCCATCCTGAAAACACTTTACTTTCGGCTCAAATAAGGTCTATAATTCGGGATTTTGGACGCTTAGCAAGATAAGCGAAATACAGATCCACTCCTACGGGGCTGACCGATTTCCTGATGGATTATTCAAAAAAAATTGAATACTGGGTTGTAGTCCATTCTATTGGCTTACCTCCGTACGGGCCGACTTTCGGAGATATTCGATACATGATTAGCCCGTTCTATAAGTTTCCGACGTTGAAACAAGCGATGAACTACTGTACCTGTAGTTACCATCAGCCAATACTGTACTTAAGTCTTGATAATAAGACAAAAAAGTAAAAGTGAATTACTCGTGTAACAAGGTCAGATAGAAATTATTCACTGCCTAAGTACTTGGCAAGACAATCTAGAAGGGATCTGGAAAAGGCTCGCCAGAACACAATAGGTACTTCCCTGTTCAGGCTCCTGTTACCTACATTAACACGTTGTAATTCACCCCAATTGGAACAACACATCTTGCTTGGGAATCGAATGTTCCCAATATATATATATATGAAAACAAGTCACATAACAGAAGCGTGCAACATATACTCGTAAAGTCAATGAAAATAATAAGACCATGTGGCTTGAGATCATGTGACGGGCCGTGATTTCATTCTCACATCCAACAAACGCATTCATTAGAGAGCTAGCGAAACGCATCTGGAAAAGAAAAGTCTGCCGAACTCACTGATGGCAACTATTTGTTTGGTCATGAAGCCGTTTCAACTAAGATATATCTAGACGAGCAACGGATTAATTAGGCGCCCTCTAAATCCTCCGGCTCAGACTAATAAATCTATAAAAGAGTTGAGCGAACACACTTATCTAGGACCTAATTCTCTCCAAAATTATTCACATTCAAGATTCCTGTTGAATCCTCCACCACTCCCTTGAAAAAACCCCACAACGAACACAAGTTCCAAACAAAAATCCACAACCATGCCAAAAGCCAACCCGCCCTTCTTCCACCGCTTCCTCAATCGAAACAAAACTTCAAAAGAAGAAGCACCACCACCATACCACTCCACCTCAGCATTTTCATCCAAAATAAAAGCAAAACACACCCCACAATGGCGGTGGTCCAACCACCAATGCAAAGAATGGATCACCGCCGTCCTAGTCACCTACCTCAACCTCCCCCTCGCCGAAGCCGAGGCCAAAGCATCCCAATTCGAGGGTTTCGGACCAAGCCTTTTCGAAAGAGATCATGCGTGGTGGGAATGGTTTCTTGGGGACGGGGTGGGATCACCGGTCTTTTCTTTGATTTTTAGTCTGAGAGATGAACCGGGTGCATTGCCGGAAGGTATTACGTATGATCATTATAAGAGTAAGAGGAGCAAGAAATAGGAAGTCAGATATTGGGAGGAGTCTGGTTTGATGAGATTGTGCTCTAGTTTACGAGGAGGTAGATGAGGGGAGTTGGAGATGATGGTGGTATTGTTGATGCCAGGAAGGGTCCATCATTTTGATATAAAAACTCAGAATTCATAAAAACGAAATACTGCCTCAAAATATACCATTAATTTCCAAGTTACCTAAAATATTTACCCTCATACCTTACTATCCGAGCTATTCAACAACAATTCTTTTCTAAAATTTAAAGCTAAAATAAGCCACCTACATATTATAAACCCCAAAGACCTCAAATCCACGACAGCACAACAGACCATTCACAACAATGACTTCCCAACGAGCAAAAGAGTTTAAGAGAGAGACACCAATAACGTCTCTCCTTACTCTGTAAAAAAGCCACATCCAATTCCAGCATATCCTTATACTGCAAACACCGCGATTCCGCTCCCGACAAGAGAGGAGATCACCCCTCCCTTCACCTCTCTCCTCCATCACCTCTCTCTTCTATCATCTCTCTCTTCCATCACCTCTCCGATCTCCCAATCTGTTTAAAACAAACAACCAAGACTCCCCAAAAATAACAAGAAAACCACAAAAAAAACCCTCCTACCAGTTCAACGACCATCCTCACCAACTTCCTTGCTTCTTTCCTCCAGTAATTCCCCACCGTACGATATACTTTCTTCCTTCCTGTTCAAGATAAACACTTAGTATATATATATATATATATATATATCTCGTATGGTTATAAATTACATATCAACTAACTAGACCTGACGGAGAGGTTTAACCCCAGTTTTTAGCGACGGGAAAGTTCAAATGTGTGGTTTGGGTATGTACATGTTTTGTCGCTTAGGTCGGCGGGGATTGTGGATTGTACGAATAGTTGTAATAAGGTGTGTTTAGTACCTACAGAGAACGTTGGGGATGTTTTCTTTTGTTGATAAGTGGGCGGATGGGGAGGGGAATGTGTAAGGACAGGTACAGAAATAAGTTTGTCAATTTTTCAAATTGTAAGGTGACGAACGACGTAGTTTTTGATAAGAGGGTTCCCAGAATCTTAAGAATCCAATCTACAGAAGCGTCTCTCATCGGTATAATGTCCCCTTATACTCATGTATTCTGCTTTATATATCCCTTGATGTCTCTGACCATCTCAAACACTCAACACGTAAACAATAGATAATTTCAAAATTGAAGGGTCAAGGATGAGTATTTTCTATCCTCCCAACCATCCAATCTTCCTCACTCCTTCACAATATCAGAATTCTGCTCCTTTGTGACTTGTCTCTCCCTATTTCCCCTTAGAACCCGTTTCTTCTCGGATTTCACACTCACATACAGCAGTCCAGCTGCCCAAATCGCCAGCGCAATAGAGGTCCCAATCATAGCATACATGCCTTTCTACACGCCAATCAATCAGCAAGCGGTCCCTCAATACCCACCACATCCTTCACACCACACAAGAAGGGAGATGAGACAAAAGGCAAAAACTCACCGTAAACCTAGGCGCATAATTCGCACTATAAAACAAAATACTCCACCAAGCATTCACAGAATTACTCCCACAATTCATCCCCGCAATCACCACCGCACGCAACGCATCCTCCTCAAAGCGCATCGCATCATTGACCCACGCAAAAAAGGTAGCTTGACATGCGTACACCGCACCCGCCCAATAATAAGCTGCAAGCACCACCGCAGGATTCTCCTCCGCTTTCAGGATCATGAGACTAGTCGCGATCCCAGTTACCGCAATGAAGAAAGCGACGATATACCGTTTCCCGCCTAGGAAATCGGTGAGAGTGGCGAAGAAGAGCGTGCTAACGATTCCGACGGCGGGAACCCCGGTGGGGTAGTTGTTGAGTTGGGAGACGGAGTATTTTTTTTGTGCTTTCATGTAGAGTGCCAGAAGGGAGTTGGTGGAGAAGGACTCGGTCTCGCCGGCGATGATCCAGAGCATTATGAAGCCGTACCAGTACCAGCTTGTCAGGACTCTCCTTACAAAAGCTAGATTCCATGGTGCACGAGGGGCGACTTCAGGGACGCGGGATGAGGCGAGTTGTCTCTCTGTAGGCGTGAGGTAGAATGCTGTCGTGGTTGAAGGTGTATCCGGGAATAGCAGAAATCCATAAACAGCAATAGGGAGTGTAATCAAGCCATCAATAATAAAAAGCCAGCGCCATCCACTTAGACCTTTCACTCCATTCAATGAAGAATGGATACCAGTTTGCAGAAAACCACCGAACATCGTTCCCGCTAAGCCACTGGATGTAAATATCCCAGAGCGTTTTCCTAGTTCGCGAGCTGTGTACCATGATCCTAGGATATAGTGAGTCCCAACGAATGTGGTAGATTCCGCGATCCCTTGGAAAAATCGAATGACTATGAGGTGTTGTGGATGTTTTGCAGCGGCTGAGACCATTGTTAACCCGCCCCAGATGACCATCATACTTGGGAAGAAGATGCGAGGTTTGATATTATAGAGTGCTAGGTTTGAAGGAATGCATCCTATGACATATCTGTAATCTCATCAGTTTTAGATTCCAAAACATGCTTTCCTTCCATCCATCGCTTCGGAAAAAGAGAGAGAAGGCAAATAGTGCATACCCAACAGTGAAGACAGTATTAATCTGATTCAACTGATTTCCCACGAATCCCAACTCCTCTTTCATCCCACTAACATAAGCATTTGCCAAATTCGATCGATCGAGGTAATTGGTAAAGTACATCAAGCAGCAAAAACTCAAGATGAAGAAGTCTACCACCAAAATCAGCTCAGTCCCTCCGAATCCCGTTTTTAAAATTTAGAAACCATTGCAGAGTAAAACGATATACCAATGAGGCGAGCAGAAAAAAATAAACATTCAAGAAAGGGAACCACAAACCTAATTTTCGGACCAGCTTCCCCTCCCCAGGATGTTCACAGGGCTGATGAATGTACTCCCTAACCCTCTTTAGAAACGCCATCTCTGCACACTCGAACCTGACCGTCTTAAAAGCAACAAAAGCAGAAGTCCTCAGATTCCCTCTTGTGATCGAACCCCTCAAGACAACAAGTTAAATCCAACCACATAAAACCAAGAGGTCAAATATCTTCGTACTACCACAGAAGGAATGGGATGGCAGGTCACACCCCTGCTCAATCACACCCGTTCCACTATTTTCTCTATCTGATAAGATAGACACCGCGGGGAATCGCTCATCTGAGGTAAGATGCGATGGAATGACACAGTAGTATCGCTGCCCAGCATCAAACCATTGATAAGACGAGTCGATAGAGGACATTGACGCCCATGTCGTTGTGAAGAATCGATGGTGGTTCAGCCTGCCGTGACCTTACTTCCGGGTTCTCATTATCACTCCCGTATCCTAAGAGTAGCTTTTGCTCTTTAAGCAATGTGTATTTGTAACCAGGTTCAAGGTGAATAAAAATTACATTCACGATCCCCGTTTTTCAGCCCTGGAAAATGGTACCTTCCGGGTCACCTAGCCACTCTATTCTAGCCTAGGTAGGTACTGCGACAGGTCAAGAGTGGGGAAACCCACACGTGATTCCCCAACCGTTAAGAAGGGGGACTCCATAAGTGGCGGTTCCTAGGTAGCTGGAAATAATTCGGATGTGTCACTATTAGCTTGTTAGCTTCGTTGAATAGGATATTTGAACGCGACATGCAACGAAACAACGAAATATACACATACTTACATGCGAGGTTAGTAAGAAACGGTGGGTTGCTTTGAAACTCTACTTGGTTAAAGGTTACGCAGCTGGGTTTGTTCTGTTGACAACTAGGCATTGGTTATTTAGTGATATATGAGGGTAGAATCCATTGGAGAACGTGTTGAAGATAAAGAATCAGAAGCTTGGTATTTTCAGTAGAGTATCAGAGGAAGATAAACCCGCGAAAATCATTGACCAAGAACTAACCGAAAGAATTCAAGGGGTAGCGAGAAACCAGCGTATACAGATTTGTAATCAAACGTCAAACCTCTCTCTTCTCTTTCTACGCTCTAATCCAACACCTTCTCATCCAACCAATCCCTCAAATCATACTCCCTCCCCTCCCCTTCATAGCGCTCAATCCCCTCATGCTGACCCGGCTTCCAAGCCCGCATCACAGCCTTCCCATTATCCGGATCCACTGCAGCACGAAACATCCCACCACAATTGAAATCATCCACAATCTGCGAGTCTACTACTTTCTTCTCCCCATTCGCGCCAATGATAATCGTGAGTTCTATACCGATGATTCCACCTTCACCCTCACCGGTTTTCTGCCATCTTTCGCCTGCGCTTTTTACGAGTTCGCCGCCAGGACCAGCTATTTCTGTGACTGCGTCTTGGAGTGAGGTTTTTTGGTTGGATTTTGCGCCTGTATAGCGAGCTATTGCTGATGCTGTTCGGCAAGCATTAATTCTAAGAAAAGAATCGCCATTTCCGGTTCCTGACATTGCTGAGGAGCGAAATACGCGATCCCCCACTGAAAGATACTCAGGGTCGATATCTTGTTTCGGTAATGGAGAATATGCCATTGGATTGGGCAAACAATCGGTTATCAATCCTGTCAAGGCATCGCTCATTATAAGTGCTGGCCCGGATTGAGAGAGCATACTTTCTACTCTTGACTTCGACGTGAATTCCTCTTCCCATTCTTCAGCCCAGAAACCAGCTCCGAGCGTAGGTGTATCGCCAATTCGACCAGTGAGTTTATTCGTCATGCCTCCGGTACTTGTAGCAACTGCCAACACCCCCTCACCATCCAAAGCAACAGCACCGCAAGTTCCTTGAGGGAAAAAGTGTTCCTCGTCCCAGGTCGCAACGCCACCAGCTTTCTCCTTTTCCAATCCTCTAATATGTTCTACCAAGAATCAGTATCTCTCCAACCCAAAACAACATGCAAGAGAAAAACATACCATCCCACCTCCCCTGCGTAAAATAATAACTCGGCTCAACACACTCAAGTCCCCATTCTCTGGCCAACTTCTCAGCACTATACTGATGCAACTGACTATGTCCCTGAGCGCCCCCAGAAACAGCTCTCCCATTGCCCCCCACCAAATCCTGCTCCCCTCTAACCAGCATCTCCCTCGCAAGCTTAATAGGATTTTTAACATGCTGTATTCCCATCACACCCACACCCCTCTTTTTCAGCCCCTTCGAGACCATAATCGAAGCTTCAAGTTCATTCACTCCATCGCGTGTGAAGACCGCTCCATGGCCGGAGTTAAAGAGGGGGTTATCTTCTAGGAGGGACATGGCAAATGTTACGGCGTCAAGGGCGGATACTGTTTTCGTATTTGTGTTCGAGCTTGTATCTGATTTATCTGAATCATATGTGCTGTTGGAATTGGAGAGGGGAAAACACGATTTGGAAGTGAGGAAATGATGTGATTCAGCGAGGATTCGGAGGAGGGAGTCGTGGTAGAGTTTGTATTTCTCAGGGGTCAGGTTGGAGGGGAGGATGTTTCCTGCGCCGCCATGAATTATGAGACGAGGTATTATGGGTTGGGATTGTGTGGGTTTGTAATCCATATTTGTACGAGAAAGAGGAGAAGAGAAGGAGAAAAGTAACTTGTAGAGAAGTTTAGGAGGGTGTTGAGAGGAAGATGGACTGGAGGGGGAGCTTGAGGTTGCTGTTATCGATAAGAGCTACTGTAGATCCACTTAATTTAAGCTCCCCGCCAAAGTCCAGCTTGAGCTCTTTCATCCGCCGTGAATCGTTTTCACTGTACTCAAGTACTAACCTTTGTAACAAGAATTCGCCTTGAAACCCCCTCAAGCTTTCTAGCCAATCTCATGTAAACATCTCAGTTGAAACTTCCAAGGTTACATATAAAAAACCAGAGCTATTCAACCTATCTTGCTCTTGCTAGAAAGTACCTAGCCGCCTAGACACATAGTGAATCCCCTCTCACTTCACTTCACTACCTACAATTATAAAGTTCAACCACGCACTCTACAATTGGCCCACCAACAAAGTAAAGCAAAGAAAATTACATCATACCCGCTGGAAGTCCATGATTTTGTCGCACATCGCAATTAGTGAGCAACAGCCTGAAGCTACAGGGCTTCAAAGCCTGAAGGATTTCCTACCTAGTTCAAACCCATGTCAAGGATTTTCCATCTACCACACCATAACGCAACGCAACGTAACGAAACACAACCCGCCACCCATCCTTTACATCTACAAAAAGTACTCGTTTATCCATATATGATATATCACGGCATGATTCAATTATTTCCTTACTACTCAGCCATACCTAGGTACATACAATTCTTCAATTTCCAACTCCCCAAGGGACCAGTTCGCACACATATCACACTAAACATCTACACTACACACCCCTCCCACAAAACCCTCCTACACACAACACAAACATACCAGAAATACCCTCCCCTACAGATCAGAATCTCAAATTCCCCGTACATAAACCATTTAACCACATTGTCTAGTACAGTTTCTAGCGAGCCATCAGGTATGAATATAAGTATATATCTACCCCCCAATACCGGTATTCCGCTTTAGTATCTAACGAGTTTCCCAGTAGAAGGACAAGATACTCCCTCCCCTCCCCTTCCCCCCTCCTTAAAACCCACTATATCGCATCACAAAAACACACATCATACAACCCAATTCAAACAACTCAAAGTACCATCTTCGCAAGTGGTGAATCCATTTCATTTCAAGTCACTCCATGTCTCACCACCACGCACCTAGTCCCCCCGACCCCAAGAGGAAAATCACTCATCTCATCTCATCTCATCCCATTCCACCCCATAAGAAGTGATTCCCCACTCACCCACCCCCACCTTCCTATCCATAAGGCTATCGACCCATCCCATTCACTGCATGCACACGCACTCTATCTTGCAAAAGGTGTAAAAATCCATTCCCGTGCGCCTCCGCAGCAAACGCAACGCAACGCAACGCAGTGAAGAGAAAAAAAAATAAACAAAACAAAAAAAACACACCGACAAATATTGTATGCCGCCTGACAAACATGTTTTTTTAATACATTCGCCAGCGGCCGAAGTGATTGACTTCGCTTAGCAGCATGACTTTGTTCTATACATTCCATTTCTCTTCCGCCTTCCCTTATCCATGAATTGATGTTCACCGGAAGTTTCCATTCGCAAATGCATCAGCAGGCAGCTTATCCTATAAATTTGTTAATGATACTCGGAATGGAACTTGAGAAATGTAAACATACCCTATTTAATTGAAAAGCGACAAAAGCCTTCTCAAGATCCCAGCCCGTTTCTGTGAGGCAAAGAACAGCATAATTGGGTGTCATTCCAGTTCGTTCAACCAGCTGCACAGTCATAGCTTCTTGTTGTGGATTCCCCGTAGCAGCCACAGGCGCAGGAGCAGTTACCGGTTCGGCTGCCATATTTCGTGCTGAAGCCAGTGGTGCCCAAGCTCGAAGGTTCATCATATCACTGACAACTCTGATCGGTGGTCCCCCAGGACCTCCAGGTCCTAGTACAAATGTTCGTGAGAAGCTCCGTAGGTGTTGTTCTTGCTTGTCGTTTTGTTCTTCAAATTCTCCATGCATGGTGATTATCAAGCCGTCGACACCACGAGGACTTTGACCTGTGGGGTCTACCAAACCAGGCAAAGGATTGCATTCAATGAGATATTTGTCGGCTTGAGTGGAGATATCTGGGTGCCGCGTCGCAGGTAATGCCGTCCAGAGGGTGTTAATAGCCTGACTTCCACGATGGCGACGACTCAATTGTGTAGGGAGATTGTTGATTTTCACCAAGTTTCGAGAGAATTTCGTGTACGGTTGCCATGGAGGTATTATTACTGTGTTTCTTGTAGCACCTCGGGGCGCTGACATATTGATTGATGTTGAGACCACGGATTGGTCATCGTAAAAGTTGGTCAACAGCGCAGAGCGATTTGTGTCGTACAGTACGACGAATTGTCGTATAAAGTTTTCGCCAACCTGACCAACGTCTCGAAAGTCAGGTGGAGCATTTCCAATAGGAAATTTGGCAACCTCGAGAGCTGTGGCCACCTGTTCCGGTGTCCTGAATTGAATTCCATTGAGAATCTCGAGGCGTGGATATTTTTTCAAGAGTTCGGCTTGTAAAGAAGGTAATTGTGGTTCGATGGGATTTCCGGTGAGAATGAGTGTCGTGATGTTTCGCAATCTATTTCCCCAAGAGTCTAGCGAGTCCAGTTGGGAGATTCGGTTTCGTGAAAGGTCGAGATTTTGAATATCTGGAAAGGTCTGGGCAAGTTCAGAGACATCGGCGACATCAGACAATTCATTGTCGGCGAGTGTGACACTGACAATAGCGTCTCGTTTTTCCTGTCTGGTTTTGAATAATCCATCACAGACAACCATGAGTGCGGGGAAGATTTTGGAGGTCGTGGTAGTACCATCAAAAACACCCATCTGTATTAAGCCAGCATCCTTTGCGAGAGCGGATAAATCCAACAGCTTGAGGTCGGCATTATATCTGGTCGCTAAAACGCTCCGAAGCTGCTCTTTGGTTTCCTGGGCCTTGGGCGAGACATCTTCTTTTTTCTTGTCTCCAACCTTGTCTGGCTTTAACTCATATGGTTTAATGCTCAAAGTAGCCCCGGCAAAACTAAAATTGTCCAGCCATTTTATCCTCTCAACATCCTCCGGACCGGCGGTGATTATGATCAAGTCACCTCTTTTCAGTGACTAAATTGATGTTAGCAAGGTATAAAAACCTTGGAAGCGAATGTGGATCATGGTGCGATAAAGGTAAATCTGTCGAAACTCGACCCGTGGAAGGTTGGCATGTGGACAGGTCTTTTTAAAGTCGACGGTACAAGAACCTCCATGACCCCACGACCGGATCTATAACATACCTTGGTTATCTTCACAGCCTTATTAGAATTGGTGTCCATGGCGCTGGCTTTTCGCTCCAGAAATGCTAGCAAGCTTTCCATGCCACCATCGGGATTGGCGGCGGCCTTGCTCGAGCTCAAGCCTTCGATTTGTAGTCGGGTTCCAGCGGCGGTCATTCGTGATTCCAGGACGTTTGCCTGTGACGATTTCGCATTCAAGCCTCTGATGATGGCCTGCTGTGCTTTAATCAACCCAGCATCTGCGCCTCGCGGAGGGCCTCCAGTTGCTCGCCCGTTTCCTTGCCCTCTGGACGGTCCGCTTCCTCCGAGTTGACTTCTTGCTGCTCTGCGCTTGTCGGCAGCGATAGTGGGATCCATCACCAAATCTCCATCTTTGTCGACTCGAGTACCGCCAGCCTTGCGTTTTTGGATGCCACCTCGGCCACGGACACTGGGTGAAGCATTTCTGTGAGCGCGGGGCGCGGATGGCGCAAGTTGGACCATTTTTTGGAGGTATTTGTGTCAATACTTGGAGTGTGTTTCTCCGTGCGAGGCGGGTTTTTCGTATCGTCAAGGATAGAGGAGGGGTTGTGAGGCACCGACGTGGTAATGGGGAGGTAGACTGGGGGAGGAGCCGAGTCGGACGAGATTTCACAACCTAAAGAGAGTGCTGCAGGAGAATTCGAGGAGTGGAATGGAAAATGAAGGTCGTTGTTTCGTAGATTCGTAGATCCCTTGTTGTTTGACACGACGGCGCAAAGATGGTGTTGTGGTCAAAGGAAGGTCAGTTGGGCGATGCTTTGAGAGAAGGCTGACGCTGAAAAGACAATGGTGCCGGAGTTTTATCGGTGCAGAGCAACGGGAGTCGGAGTCATATGGGTGATTGTGTAGGTACCAAAGTACTCAGGGGTACTCTACCCGTGAGTCAGGTGAATGGTTCTGGCGTACGGAGGAGAGCTAGCAGTATGAGTGGTCGAAATGTATAGGCAACCAAACAACTTTCAGAATTCAGAAACTAGTTGGCTAGTGATGTATGAAACCAGCTACCTAAGACTTCATTTTGAGAGGGCTGTACAGTACTTGAGTACAACCACGGGAATCGCATGTCTTATTGAGTCAGATTCACTGTCGCCTTCCAAGACTCAGGTACGGACTGGTACCTCGGCCCTTGTAGGCTTGTACACGGCTTGTACGGCTTGTACGTCCGTGCATGGGCAAGGTTGCGATTTCACGAGGGACTCTGGACTCTTTTGAAAGCTGTCCTCACCAAAATTGTCCTGATATCAAGTCCTCGGCGCGCGCATTATCCACCTCGCAGTAGAAAACAAAATCTGTCCTGTCTTTCTATACTCTGGATTTTCACCTTCAATTGGGCTGGCCAATTGCAAATTAATGTGTCTTTGACGACTGCGGCTCCATTCCTGCCTGCGCGGCGTCCCTGTGTCATTAACTAGGATCATCACCAACTTCCCTTGAACAGTCATTTTCGAACCATGGCGCCAAAATCCAGATTTACGCGGCTAGATGCCTTTACAAAGACGGTGGATGAGGCGAGAGTGCGGACAACCTCGGGAGGTATTGTCACGATAGCTTCGTTGCTCATCGTTCTGTGGCTCGCCTGGGGAGAATGGGCCGATTACAGGCGCATCGTCATCCACCCTGAATTGATTGTGGATAAAGGACGAGGTATGTATCTCTAAGTGATAGAAGGACTACTAGCATGGAAAGGCTGATTTTGCGATTTTGAATAGGCGAAAAGATGGAGATCCATCTGAACATTACATTCCCCAAGTTACCATGCGAGATCTTGACCTTGGATGTGATGGATGTTTCTGGGGAACAACAAGTTGGTGTGATGCACGGTGTCAGTAAGATTAGGATGGCGCCCAAGGAAGAGGGTGGACATGTTCTAGGCGTCAAGCCTTTGGATCTGTAAGTATTTGGAAGAGGCTTGTGGGCTATCTGGACAGATCATTAACTTTATGGCAGGCATGCCGAGGACGACCAGGCGACACATCTTGACCCGAGCTACTGTGGTGGTTGTTATGGTGCGACCCCTCCAGCAAATGCGAAGAAAGCCGGCTGCTGTAATACTTGCGACGAAGTCAGAGAGGCTTATGCTAGTGTCTCGTGGGCTTTCGGGAGAGGAGATGGGGTCGAACAATGCGAGCGCGAACACTATGGAGAAAAACTGGACTCCCAGAGAAAGGAAGGATGTCGAATTGTTGGAAATCTCCGAGTCAACAAGGTTGTTGGAAATTTCCACATTGCCCCAGGACGAAGTTTCAGCAACGGGAACATGCACGTTCACGACTTGAACAACTACTACGATACTCCAGTCGAGGGTGGCCATACTTTCACCCATGAGATCCATTCCCTTCGTTTTGGTCCACAACTGTCGGAGGATGTGACCAAAAAGAGAAACACCAAGACCGATTTGTGGACTAACCACCATGTCAATCCATTGGACGAGACTTCGCAAATCACGACTGACCCCAATTTCAACTTCATGTACTTTGTCAAAGTGGTCTCAACCTCGTATCTTCCTTTGGGATGGGAAACTTCGGCATCTGCTTCTCATCACGACGAGCAGGTCGGACTCGGAACCTATGGACACCAAACTGATGGAAGTGTCGAGACGCATCAATACTCGGTCACCAGCCATCGCCGGAGTTTGATGGGTGGCGATGATTCTGCTGACGGCCACAAGGAGAAGATCCATGCTCGTGGTGGTATTCCAGGTGTTTTCTTCTCATACGTAGGTTTTCCAATCATCCTGATCTCACTCCACTCTAACATTGGTTGTTTAGGATATCTCACCCATGAAAGTCATCAACCGAGAGGAGCGCTCGAAAAGTTTTACCGGCTTCTTGACTGGTCTTTGCGCAATTATTGGTGGTACTTTGACGGTGGCCGCAGCCGTTGACCGTGGATTGTATGAGGGTGGATCACGACTGAGAAAGATGCAATCTAAAACCATGTGAATAGAATCAGGATGCAGTCTTTGTTGGGTTTTCCGTTATATGGGCATGGGCAGGAGTTAAGAGGGATTTTGAATAGGCAGATTACTGTAGTAAAAGAAGAATTTTGAAGTTACCTTGATTACACTGTTATGAATGATTTGGCTGTTGACTTTCGTGAGGTTGAAACGGGATGGATAAGAGGGGCGGAACATGACAGTCCATAAATCCTGGTTATTGGAATGGTAGTTAAAAGCTGGAGTAGATGTAAGAATCGACTGTGGGATTACTCTACCCAAATCATGTAAGCAAGCTTCTCCTGTACTAAAGAAAACAACGCCCATCCCATCAGACGATTTGCTGCGACCATCCCAGGCCAGGTGGCGGCGGCCAACCCCAGATTCTCATGCATACAGTATAAGATGGCAATGCCGTGTGGAGTACCGAAGTCTTTTTTCAGATGATGAGGATGAGGAGATCAAACACATCGATAGATCTTGAATATCCTTAGGTATAGCCATCGGTTGGGAGATATTGGGGTTCTTGGACTGATTTGTCCGACTTGACTGGTTTACAATAGAATGTTTGTTGAGCAGAACGGCTTGTATTTGGCTTGTTTCCTACTTACCGTACGTAGGTGCTGGGTTTTTGTCTATGCTGTTGCTGCTTTGCCGGACGTGGCAATGTATTTATATTGTGTGGTGAGGGGGTGATGGTTGTTTGGTGGTGGGGGGTAGGGAGGGAGATCCTTGGTTGGTGGGTTTATGGCCACGGGTGGCTAGGACCTACGAAGTAGTTAAGGCTGGTTGGTTGGTTGCTTGGTCTATAAATAAGTTGATCTTGGGAGGTTTTGAGGATGGAGGTGCTGTGAGTCTGAGGCGCAGGATGAGATGGGATGGGGATGGATGGGAATGGATGGGATGGTATGGGGTGAGATGATGTAATAGTTTCTCTCCTACTCGATACCTTACAGACTATTTCATTCTTGCATTCGATTGCAATCGCAATTGTAATTGTGATGGTAACAGTAATTACAGGTGATTGTCGTCGGAAGTGAGGATTAGCTTCCCCATCCCCAGACCCCCTTTTTTTGGTTTGGGGCGTCGGCGGCCATGATATTTACTCAGGGGAAGGAACCAATGAGGTTGTTGAGCGTCACATCGCCAAGACGATCGTGATGCCTCAATCACGAAATGATTTTATTTTGGTCCCCGCGACGGAGATGATTGCGCAAAGGAAATGGTTGGACTGTGACCAGCGAGCCAGCTTTTCCAGAAGAATCTTTTCCCGTCGGTTCTCTGCTCGCTGTTCTCGTTGCTGTTTGCATCCCATCGCAACTTTGTACCCCTTTTGAAGTTCTGGCTCAGGCACGTTTCAATTCTCTACACTCCTTCGTCGTCACTTTGCTCGATCTTTTCTTCTTTGCTTTGGAGCCCTTGAACGACTCTTCTCTCTTTCTCCAGGATCTCAAATCTCCTCGCTGCTTGACCCACCATCCGCCGGTAGCTCTCCTCTCCTCTGGCCGTAGCCCGCCCGCCCGTCTCTCTGCTGCAGGTCATTGGGTCAAACGCCATCGTCGTTCATCGCTGCTGCATCCAGAAGCACCTGGGCAGCCCAGACGCGCATCTTTCGCCTCGGGATTTCTGTCACCAGCCAAGCGAAGGTCGAAGGCTGAGGCAGCCCCTGAAGCATATCGGTACCTGTCCTGTGCCGATTCCCTTGCACGCTGCTGCAATCTTGGTTCCTGCAAATGAAGGTGCCATCATTATATTATTGATTGCCAGGCCGACGTTCAGGGCATTCGTTCCCTTTTCAACCGAAACTTCTTGTCAGGCTGCCCCTAAGGTTGTTGGTTCAGTGTGTTCACCAGTAAGCTTGAGCCCTCGCCCTCGCCCTCGCCCTCGCCCTCGCCCTCGCTCCTCACCCAAAAGAAACCCCAAACTTCCTCCCCCCCCTTCCCAANAAGCTTGAGCCCTCGCCCTCGCCCTCGCCCTCGCCCTCGCCCTCGCTCCTCACCCAAAAGAAACCCCAAACTTCCTCCCCCCCCTTCCCAATTCAGGCTCTTCTCCTCAGACCTCGCCTCGCCAAATGCCTGCGCCTGCTGCACCTGGACTCCGTACCTGCATTTGGCCGTTCCCCCCCAACACCTCCAGCTGCACCAACCCCAACCCAAGCCCTCCAAGCTCCTCTCGTTCACACCTGCACTTGACGCACTGCACCTCCCCCAAGACCATCGCCCTCTTGAAACAGGCACCACACCATCTCCTTTGCGGTCGTCCCATCTACTTGTATGTTATTACTTGTAGCAGCGAGCTGCCACATCCACGCTCCTTTAGACTTCATCGCATTCAAATCCCATCCCATCGTGGAGTCGCTTGCGACCTCGATAGCAGGCCGTCGCCACCCACAACCATACCTTTTAACCGTACTTAGTACACACGTGTAAAGGTATAAAGAAAGAAGAATACGAATACACACCCCATTCCCTTCCAATTGCGCAGCAACTCCCAGTTCTCTACCGCCGTCAACCTGACAGCCTACGACACCCCTTCTTCTCCCGAGAGCTTATTCACGACGATCCTTCGCCATCATCGCCCACAATCACATTACCACTTCGAGGCTTGTGACTGGACCATCCGACCGCAGCCCGCCCTTGCGCAGTCTGATCCAACCCATTTACGGATCCACGACGACAGATATACATACATACATTCATTCGGTCTCTTCTGCAGCCACAACGTTGATTTCCTGGACCAGCGACCCACGCACAACCACTTCTTTTGTACAGACCACTACAGTCGTCGTTGGCAAATCACTGGCCCCATTTACCTGATCACAGTGCGAGCCCCGAGAGCAAGAACCACACACGCACTGGTCACAACCCTCACTGGCAGTGTCTCCTCACCATGTCGGGCAATCGACCCAACTTCGTACGGCCGAACTTTATCGATTTGAGAAGTCAATCCCATGGGCCAATTGGCAATGGCATGCCATCACCCCGAAGCCTTCCTTCACCTCGTTTATGTGTCGCGGGGGAAGTACCGCCGGCACTTTCACCACTCGATGCCTTTGCAGCACAGAGCCGAGCGTTGGCCAAACAATTGGAAGAGAGTATGAATGGAGGCAAGCGGATGAGTAGACTACCCCCTCTGGCAGTGGAGGATTTGAGCAGTGGACGACCGAATTACTTTCGCTCTGCCTCTGCAGATGCGGGTAGTCCTTGCTGCGATTCACCGTCAGAAAGGGAAAGTCCCGCTGTAACGACTGAAATTGAAGTTCCTCTGGACAGACCAGTTTCAGTTCATCCTCTCCTCAGTGGCCCTCTACCTCCAGATACTAATTTACCACCTCTCCCACCAACTCCAGCCGGTCGATTCGATTACCAAGAAGAGGAAGATAGAGGGAGGAGGCCGCCAATCGCGCATGCTCGCTCGGACTTTGGTGCGCGTACAGAGCAATCACCACCGCCCCTGGATCGAGACTCGTACCAATTCAGACCACATAACTATTCCGGAGATCTAAGGCCCAGAGGAAGTGTGGATTCAATGCGAGCACGCGCACACGGCGCTCGACGACCAAATGAATCAGCCCTAGGAATACACGGCTACGATTCGAGAGCTTTGGCTCCTCCGAGGTCACCTTACGGACAACGAAACGCAAGTCTGCGATCAATGTCCACGAGTAGCTCAGATGATGAGAATCGTCAAAACCAACCCCGTGTTATTTCTCCCGACAGGCAGATTCCGAGTGCCTTGTCTACGTCTCCTAATTCTCCAGCATTGTATAATGGAAGACCAACTTCTGTAAGCTCTGAATATTCCACGGCTGGATTACCGCCGCCCGCATTCAATTTCTCCAGACCAATCAGTAGAGCAAGTACAAATGGAGGACTTCCAATCGATATTCCTAGAGGACCCTCGCGGCAAGAATCATCTGACAGTCAACCTTCTTTTGTCCTAGGAGATGAGACAGCCAATACCCCAGTTAGCATGCATAGTGAAGGATTTTCAGATGCTCCAAATGAAAATGGAGCTGCTCCTTCCTACGTATATTCTCGATTTAACCTGCCTCGAGGTAAAATGCTCCAGAGGAATTCATTCATTTTCCAAGACAGCATGGGTCAGACTCGGTATTCCTGGGATCTGCCACATACTGGAAACAATATTCATCCAAGTCAGGGCAATGCACCGCCATCACCACCACATCCATCCAGTGAATCAACAAGATCTTCAACTGAACAGTATACTCCATCATTGTTCTCATCGACTACCATAAAGGCCAAATCGCAGCATTCTATGTCAACGATTGATTGCTCCCCTGAAGAACATGTCTCTCGTGCTATTGAGTACCACGAAGCGGGTGCATTGACAAAGTCAACATATCACCTCAGACTCGCAGCTAGGCAAAATCACCCCACGGCAATGCTTCTCTACGCGTTGGCTTGCAGACATGGTTGGGGTTGTAGACCAAATCAAAAAGAGGGAGTGGCTTGGCTACGAAAAGCTGCGGATTTTGCACAATTGGAAATTGCTGACGATGAGGAGACGATCAAGGATGGCAAGACCGTGGATGTGATGGAACGAAAGACCAGAAAGGCTCAATTTGCTCTGAGCATTTATGAGTTGGGCGTCAGTCACATGAATGGCTGGGGTATCGAGCAAGACAAAGTTCTTGCCTTGAGATGTTTCGAGATTGCTGGATGTAAGTTTTTCCAATCCAGGGGTTAATTGATAATTGGAAACTAATAATTTCTTTCTAGCTTGGGGAGATGCCGATGCTCTTGCTGAAGCAGGATTCTGCTATGCTCAAGGTGTGGGATGCAAGAAGGATCTCAAGAAGAGTGCTCGATTTTATCGACAGGCAGAAGCCAAGGGAATTAGCATGATTGGGAACAGTTGGTATGTTTTGGCCACTGCACTCGTCAAGATCTTTTGGTATCTAACATTGTGCAGGATTTATAAAGCCAAGTATAACGAAGACCCCAACGACGTGGCATCCGGAGAACCTCGAAAATCTTCAGAGACCACCAGGACTCAAAAGAAATCTCGAAACGGTCTGTTCGGTAGAAAGAAATCGACAACCTGATCTCTCGAAGAGGTTTCGGAAGCAAAAGTTGATAGAAAGAAAGAAGAACAAAAGCAGCAACATATGCATAATGTTAATGACGAATTTTTTCTTTCCACCTCAAAATTTCAACTGCGATTGGCGTTTGTTTTTGATGGCGTTACTGGGAATGCCATTTTCTTCGATTCTTTCTGAATTTGGGGGACTTCCTTGGAGTGAGCGGCATTCATTTTTTCATTCATGGGGAGGGCATTCGATTTCTTTCTTTTTGATTTTGGGCACTTACATTTTCTTTCCTTGCTCTTTTTTTCTTTTTTTGTCTTTTCATTTGGGTTGGAATTGAGCGCGTTAGTTTTCACCCCTGGCTGTTGTTTTGTAAGGGACATATACCACTTTGGTCTTCTTCTTCTTTCTCTTCTTGTTCTTGTTATCTTGGGCTTTTTTCATTCATTCATTTGTTTGGTTTTATTTGATCTTTGCGCTACTTGGCCAACGGCCGTTCACTTTCGCTTTTGCTTCGAAGGTTCTTTTTTTTTACTTATTGTTCATATATTCTGAGGTCGGAGGAGAGGGTTATTATACATACGTACCTCTTACCACTCATGATCTGATGGTTAGGGGGACGAAGGGGGTGGGTGAGATGAGGGATGAGGGGTTTGTAGATAGTGCGGTAGTGGGGTAGAGGGGGATCGTTAATATCAAAAGAATTCTCTGAGAGATTGATTTCTTGAGTTTTTAATGTGAGGTGATGAGGTGCGAGTTGGTGGGTGATGAGATGGGGTAAGTGTTGAAGTGAAATTTTGTTGGTGATGGAGATGAGATGGGATGGCCTTCTCGAGTGCTGTGAATGTGAATGAAATCCTCCCGATCTTATGGAGGGGTAGTGAAAGTTGTTTATTTACATCTAACTTTTCCCTATTTTGAGCGCGTTGAGTTAGGTTAGGTAGGTTACACACATCAGTACGTACTCGTACTCAGAAGTCTTTAGGTATGATCGAAGTGGTTTGGGCGCCGACCAATCATCTAATGTGCTTCTGTGGACGTGAGGATGGGTGGGGCTGCTGAATGATCAATGGGTCATTGATTGATTGTGCTGATGATGATGATGATTTCTTGGCGATCTGATGACGCTTTGGGGTTCTGATGTTCTTCTGAAGTCCCGATTTTATTTTTTTTATTTTTTTGAGATGTGGGTTGATTTGATAGAAGGGGGGGGGAGGTGCGCTGTGGTCTCGGTGCGGTGCTTGGAAAAGAAATGAGTGGGTAATTACGTAGGTACGAGTAATTTATAGATTTTTGAAGTGAATTTTCTTAAAGATCAAGCCCCTTGAATGGGAAGATCCCAGTAAGGAGAACGAAAACGCGTGATCGCGCGCGCTCAGAGCTCGGACTAATCTCCCCACGGACGCGTTTCTAAATGCGCGCCCGTCGGGTTGGTTGACATCCATCCATCTACTTTGGTACAGTACACTCCTGAATGACCATTGTTCTTGAGAGACATAAATCTGTGCGACGGTACACAATTACACCACTTCAGGGTTAATCGTTGATCTTTGGTTGTCAACCGCAAAGTCGTTGTGAGTACATGGTTGGTTACCCTACCTGCGAGTGCGGATACGCGATTGCTGGTTTGGATCGCTGGGTTTGGATTGGTTTTTGATTCCTTGCTGAGCCGCGAAACGGCTGGTACGAGGGTGCTTGAGGGTACCTAGGTACTTTGGAATTGACAATTCAGATAGAGAACAGATAGAGAAGGGTAGGTAGGTACGAGACGAGATGGCACCAGGACGGGTACCCCAACCGGGTAGTATCCACCATCTGGCACGACAACATATTCCTCCGGGTGCGCAGCTGGAGGGAGACTACTTCTTTGTCATGGTCCTGCCTCATGATGAGCGTTTGGAGACTTGTGCGACGGAGAAGCATATTTGGTATAAGGTTAAATCGGTATGTATTGTACCTGCCCTGCTCCTTCCCCTCCATTAGCTCCTTCCGTTTCAATTCTTTGATGTGGGAGGGAAGGCGCATTGTGCATTGTGCAGATGCTAAGGACAGATAGAAATACACGATTGCCAAACTCAAGGATGAATATTACAAACGCAACTACCACCAGGTCAATCTGTTCTATGATGGTGTCGGGGTTGGTGATATTCTGTAAGTCCAGACTCTGAACTTCTTTGGGGATCATATTGTGGCTTTTACGGCGAGACTTGCTGAGAGAAATCCGCTGGCGCCGGTCGCGAGTGGATCGCCGGCGATGAATTTGATGATTCAGAGTCCTGTGGCTGTGGGGGTGGTGAAGAGTGAGCATAGAGATTTTGGCAGTGGTGTTTATGGTGTGCCTCGTACTTCAACTCCGAGTTCGACATTGGCTTCACATCACCGAACATTGGCTGTCAAGCCTGAGCCTGGTATGTATTTCCCTTTCTTTTTTTCCCCCAACTCCAGGGTTTACATGAACTGATTGTGTGCCTCTAGTTGGCAGTCCAGCTACCCCTCAGCGAAACATCAATGCGCCGACCCCCTCGTCTGTCCCTCGTCACACACCACAAGATAATGGAAACCAAGACAAGATGGATACCGACGACGAGCCTCTTCCAGAGTTGGCTCGTGGTCAAATCGCCAACAGACTTCATGAACTTATCGAGACGGCAACCCCGGATGCTCTCGAGGCAGAGGTCAGAAGCAACAAGGCATTCATTGAAAGTTTGTTGAAACCTTTCGAAGCAAGTGGTGTGGCTTCTCAGGATTCCAAGCATTGGGTTACACAATTGAATACTTTGGAGAACCACAATGTTCATACGCCCACCATTATTGGTGTGGTGGGAAATACTGGGGCGGGAAAATCGAGTGTTATCAATGCTATTCTTGATGAGGAGAGATTGGTTCCTACTAATTGCAGTACGTTCTTTAGATATCTTTCTTTGCCCTACAATGCTTTCCGATGTTCGGGAGAAAATGCTAACTTTGCAACAGTGAGAGCTTGTACTGCTGTGGTTACGGAGATGTCGTTTAACCATTCTGAGAACGAAAGAGAGAAGTACCGTGCAGAAATCGAGTTCATCAAGCCAGAGGATTGGGAGAAGGATCTTCAGCTTTCTCTGTCTGAACTAAAGAATGACAGTGGCGGAGTAAGTTGCGGACCTCTCATTATCCAAACTTCATTATTAATCATCAAACTAGCTTTCAAGTGACTACACTACTCCTGACTCCGAAGCTGGAATTGCCTATGCCAAGATCAAGGCTGGTAAGTGACGTTCGTGAAACCGTTTATGTCGGACATTTGCTAAGTTTATACCTAATAGTCTATCCACGCAAGACCCGGGAGATGCTCGCTTCTTGTACTGTTGAGCAATTGATGAACGAAACTGCCATCAAGAAAGTTCTTGGTACGACGATTAAAGTCGCAAAGCCTAAGCCGGATGGTTTTTATCGAGAGCTTCAATCGTATGTCGATAGCAAGGAGAAGTCTGGTGATAAGAAGAAGAAGAAAAAGAAGGTTTGTTTTACTCTCTTGATCGCCCGCGACATGGATGCTGGGAATATATCTTACCCAAGTATATGATTTCGATTGCTGACTTGTATCGTTAAAGGGAGAGAAGAGCGAACCAAAGACGATGGAGTTTTGGCCCATGATCAAAGTCGTCAGAATCTATGTCAAAGCAGACGCCTTATCAACTGGAGCAATTCTTATTGATCTCCCAGGTATTCACGACTCCAATGCGGCACGCGCTGCTGTTGCTGCTGGATATCTTAAGAAGTGCACAGGACTTGTAAGTTTCAAAGTACAAATATATAACGAGTTAAAGCTAATTGAATTTTCAGTGGGTTGTGGCCCCCTATCGGAAGAGCAGTTGATGATAAGGCTGCGAAGAACCTCCTTGGCGAGTCTTTCAAGCGGCAACTCAAGTATGATGGAATCTACTCTCGTGTAACCTTCATCTGCTCTAAGACGGATGACATTTCCATCACTGAAGCTTCTGACAGCTTGGGCTTGGAAGATCAGATGGCTGATGATTGGAAAACCATGGACTCCATCAAAGATAAGAAGAAGGAATTGAAGAAGGCCATTGAGGATACTCAAGAGTCTAAAGCCGTCTACGCCGAAATCATCAATGACGCGGATGATCAGATTGAGATTTGGGAGGCAAGTTTACCTACACGTGTGTGGATCAATGGTAGACTAACATTGGAAATAGAAATTACTGGAAGAGCTCCACGATGGCAAGACTGTATACGCCCCATCGACAGCTCCAGAAAAGAAGAGAAAGCGATCTGCCAAGCCTGAGAAATCTAATAAGAAAGCTAAGAAATCCAAGTCCAAGGAACAAGAAGGTAGTGACGATGACGACGATTTCATCGATGATGGTGATGAAGATGAAGATGCCGAAGAGAACGAGAATAGCGACGAGGACGAGGACGAGGCTGGTTCTGATGCCGAAAGTAATGCCGGTTCTACCTCAGACAAGGGCGATCCTTTGACTGAGGAGGCAATCGAGGAGAAAATCACCCAACTAAAGGGCGACAAAAAGAATGCCCGTCGGGAGCGTGCGGAAATTGACCTCAAGGTCAAGGCTCTCAAGGAGGAACAAACTGCCTTGACGAAGACCTATGAAGAATTGGAGACCAAGATGAGCGCCGTTTGCATTGCTGGCAGAAATGACTACTCCAAGACGGCAATCCAGACAGACTTTGCTGCTGGCATGAAGGAGCTCGATCAAGAAAACGCCCAAGAGGAAGACGAAGAGACGTTCAACCCAGACGAGGATATCAGAGACTACGAGGAAGTAGCTCGTTCACTCCCTGTTTTCTGCGTTAGTTCTCGAGCTTACCAAAAGCTGTGTGGTCGAATGCAACGTGATGCCAATGTCCCTGGATTCAGAACTGCTGAAGAAACAGAGGTACCGCAGCTTAAGGCTCACTGCAAGAAGCTTACGGAGGGTGGTCGTGCTTCCAATTGCCGCCGCTTCTTGACGGATCTGAGTCAATTGATCAACTCATTGACGCTTTGGTCTTCTAACGATGGTACTGGTCTCAACATGTCAAGTACACAGATGGCTGCCGAGTCACGATTCTTGAAGAGCCGACTTCAAAACTTGGAAAAGAATTTGGACAAGTCCGTGACAGAATGTCTCAAAGAAATGAAGCAGACTCTTGCCGAAAATATTTTTGACAGTTTTGATGGAGTAGTTCAGCAAGCTGTCACCGACGCCAATACTACATCCACACGGTGGGGTGATCGGCATATGGGCGGGTTCTACTGGGCCACATACAAAGCCTTGTGTCGTAGAAATGGTGTCTTTGCCAACAAGAATGGAGAGCATGATCTCAATCACCAACTCACGGAGCCTATCATCAAGGGGCTGGCTAACAATTGGGAAAAAGCCTTTGCTCGTAAAGTTCCTCATGTTCTGGCAAGCTTTGCGAGAAAGAGCAAGACTTTGCTTCATCAATTCCACAAGGAGATTGAGGGTCGCAGTCAGAAGGCTGGACTTGGAGTTGCGGGTTTGGGAATGCTCGGTCAACAACTTCGTAATTATGAAGCTACCTTTGCTCAATTGGGCCAAGCTATGGGTTAGTAGATCACTAATTTCATCGTGTCCTGGACGTCTTTTCTGGACTTTTGCTAATAAATGTTGTAGTCGAGCTTATCAGCAATGCACAACGAGAGGCCAATCGCGAGTTTACACCCGTTGTTGCCGAGGCTCTCGTGAGTAGCTACGAGTTCTGTGCTGCTGAAGTTGGACCAGGTAAGAGAAGGAATCCTCACTTAATAGAAAGCGTATTAATCCAACCCAGGTCAATTCGTTCGCATGAAGCGTCACATGAACGACCACATTGAGCAAAACAAGACCACCATGTTCCAACAAAGCGTCGATGGTGTCAAGGCTAGATTGACAGCCATGTGTCGCTCGGTGGAGAATGAAATGGCCAGCAAGGCGGAAGAAGTCTGGTCAACAATGAATCGTGATTATACCCAGGTCATCTCGGGAACTCAACTTCCTGATGGCGAGCAGATGCCGAAATGGGAACGTCTTCTTCGAGCTGAGCTCGCGAAGATTATTCGTGAGCGTGGTGAGTTTTTGACCAAGGCGGCGGCGATCAAGGCCACGGATGAGGCGGCTAAGGCTACGGCTACGGCTGCTTATCTTGCCGTACTTGAGGGCGAAGCTGGGGGTGAGGGAGATGGTGAGGGTGGAGATAAGGATAAGGATGAGACGGTGGAGGAGAGTGCGATGGAGAGTGCGATGGAGAGTGCGATGGAGAGTGCGATGGATTAGTAGGTGCTCTTTGCTATGTGACTGTGGATTGCGAAAACAAATGTGACTAGTATCTTTGTCATGATGGCGTTTTTTGGTCGGATATGGTATGGGATGGATCTGGTGCTATCACTCCGCCTGATGGATCTGGCTCTGGACTGTACAATATCCGTGTTTCTTGGGGGGATTTGGGGGAGATCTGGCGTTCAGCTGGCTGGTCTTGTTTTGTTTTGTCCTGATACCATGGTCTTCGTTTTTCTTTTTTTACAAGTGGGGGTGGGGACTTGGGGTTGCGGAGGGGGGTGTGTATGAAAAGGAAAGTTTTTGAGGGGTAGGGAGGGTGTGTGGGTGTGTATTTTAGTGGATGGTGTGGTATGGTGTGGGTTAGTGGGTATTTAGTTGTTTACTATTGGTACCTTACCTTGCTTTTGTTGTTTCTTGTGGAGTGTGAGTGTGTGTGTGTGAGTGATGGAATGGATGGATGGATGGGTGTGTTTGGTAATCGTGTGTTGGAAAGTGAAAAGTTTTTTTTCTTTTCTTTCTGATGTTCTGAAAAGAAAGGGGGGGAAGGGGGGCTGATTGTAAGTCTTGTGCTTATACGGGTTTATTGCGGTGTCTTGTGATGGGGGGAGTGGAGAGTGCGATGGATGTGATGGATGTGAGATGTGATGGATGTGAGATGTGATGGATGTGAGATGTGATGGATGTGAGATGTGAAGGATGTGAGATGTGATGGATGTGAGATGTGATGGATGTGAGATGTGTGAGATATGTGGAGGGTAATAAGATACGATACACCTTTTTGGTTTTGGTTACACTTTTGGTATTTTATGTATATATATATATATATATATATATATCATANGTATATATATATATATATATATATATATATCATATCTCTATCTACCTATATTCTTACAGTATACTGTACAAGTATACCTGAACCGTGAAAACTCCAAGGGATTCCAAGAACGTAGAACGTCGAACTCGTAGAAAATTGTAGATTGTTATTACTTAGATCTAAAGCGTAAGTTAAGGGGTTTAAGCGTAAGATTACTCGTAATATTATTTAAATTAAATTGAAAATGAAAGGATGGGTTTTATCAGTTCGCCTCTGAAAGTCTATATTATTAGGAAAGTTTGAAACTAAATGGACCTCCTCTCTCGTGAAAAAACGATCCTACCTTGTGAAAGGAAAGAGGAGGGCGGGAGGGGAATGGATTGTTGGGTATTTGGAAGGGGTGGAGAGGGAGGGGAGGGGAGGGTAATGTAAGGAAGGACCTTGGTTTGCTTTAGGGGTGCTTTTTTATTTATATCTAGCGTGTGAATAAACTAATTATCTACTTAAGTATAGTGGAGTTGAGTCGTTAATTTCACTACTTAAGTAGTACTAGGTATAACTACTTAAGTTGAGTTGAGTAGGGCTTTTAAGCCCTTCAGTAGAGTAGAGTAGGTACCACTACTCTACTCATTTTATACGCTGTTGATATCTACTATCCATAGATCCGAGGGAGAAGTTCGAAGAACACTATAACGCAACCGAGAATACCGTAGTAAATCGTATTTCACGAGTATTCCGGGATATATAGACGGAGGACCTGGAAGTTACAACACTCTTGTTAGGTTACGAAGAATAGCTTTCTACTAGTTTATTATATCTTGTAATTTTCTACGTATAAGGACTTCCTGTGAGGAGGGGCCTCTAGTTCGCTTCATTCCGTACTATTCCGTACTCAAGTATACTTTTTAGGTTTAATTTACTAACGGTTATAGTTACATCTCGTGAGGCTTAGGGTCCCCTACCCTGGTGTGAACTGCAGGTTGTCTTGAACTTGAAGTGAAACCTGAATACAAGTACCATCAAGGTCCAAGGTAGATGGGTTATAATACCCAAAAATCGTGCTTCCTAGAAAACTCCATGTGAATTATAGAATGAATTGTATAATCACGAGTTGGTTTTCGGAACGCGGATTTATGTGATTCGTATTTTTCAACAGGTTAATTAATTTCAATGATTCTAGAGAAACTTTATTCATGTAAGCTTGTTGGGTCTATATACTGAATTAATATGCTCCAAGGAGCTACTTCCTTGGCACGGAAGTATACTCTCTATTGTAGATAAGCATTGTATATTAACTGTACGATACTCACTTCTTAAGTGATGCCCACATGGAAACTCAATCCTGAAACTACCTTCTGAAATTCTCCTTACCCAGCAATCATGACTGTATTTCCTCAAGTTCGCTCTCTCGCTGTCTGCTGCAAAGAGCATGGACAGCTAAGAGTCACACCATGTACGCAGGTCATATGTAAAAAAAAAAGCTTGTATTCACGGAACGCGAGTCTCTGATTCTTGGATTTCGCCAAAGCCGGGGCCGAGCCGTATTATCCCACTCCGATCCCCCACAGATGCATGATCAACAGATCTTGGTAACGCCCCAGTTGTTGATCTCTGGAGTTGAATCTTTATGCCTCTCAAAATCACCAAGCATTCTCTCCAGATGTCCATGGATTCTAGCCCGGTACGAGGGACCATCGGATTTCTTCTTTTACGAGGTAGCGTGAACCGGACGCGAGATAACATGTCGATTCGTAGAGCCGTTGCGAATTAAACTTTCAGCTGCCATCCAGTATTACTGTTTCATCTCAAGTTCTGTTACGGTACCAGTAAACTCCCAATTCTGTTACAATTGATGGGACTTCAGATGAAGCGAGCAGAGCGGTTTGACAGGTTGACAGAAATGCCAGAGATGTCAGATGTCAGAGCATCGGTCATCAAGCAGTGCACAGAGAAAAGTTTAAGCTTAAAATAGATGAAATAAATTCTCCTTTGCTAATCCTGAGAGTTGGAGGCCCATGTCCGTCCACGATAACCTTTTGAACTTCGCCAAAAACAGTAAATTATCTAGCGAGACCAATTGATCTAACACAATCCTATCACCCAAGATAATTTCAACCCCAAGAAACAAATTATGCTTTCGCCATTTTTTTGATGTGGATGGCGTTTCCAACTCCTACTCCATCAATCACTCCACCCCTAAGCTTTGGGGGCTGCGGTGGACTTAGGAGCCTTTGTCTCCTTTGGCTTCTCGGTCTTGGTAGCATCATCACCATTCTTCTTGGTGCTACTAGTTGCTCCTCCGGCAGTACCCTCGAACTTGAGGGCGGTCGATGGTTGGCCGGCATTCGCCTTGTCCTTGGCAATGTTGTTGTCAAGCTTCTTCTGCTCTTCAGCGAGCTTTGCAGCGGTGCCCTTGCCTTGAGCTCCCTCTGCCTTCAACTCCAAAACGGAGGCCATGAGCTTGAGAATCTTGTTCTTGGTTTTACCGTTCTATGAAGAAAATTAGATCAAACGTATAAAGAATTTTGCAGAATTTTTACTTACACCAACGGCAATCTTAGCATCGCCGGTTGCGGCCTCAAGGGCTGGGTTGAAACCCTCCTTCTCGGCTGCGTTACCGAGATCGTTGACATCGTTCAAGAACTTGATGTCCTCCTTGGAAACGGCAGCAAAGTCGGTTCCGACGTCCAACTTAGCAAGGGCTTCAGCCTCACCGTTACCGGCGATACCTCCAGAGATGGAATGGAGAAGGTGGCAAATACCATAACGAGAGCAGCTGAGAATTGCATCTTGATGATTGTTGGTTGGGTGATTGAAAAATCTGAAAGAATGGATTTGGAATAAAAGTTAAGAATTGAGCAGCGTGGCTGTAATTTGTTGGGATTAAAAAAATCGGATTGAACAGCACAGCTGTAGAAGGAAAGTGTGTAGATTGAAAGAATGTAATTGGAATGAAGAGAAAAGAAGTTGTTGAAGGAAGATTGATCTGCTCTTATATAGAAGATTCGCTCATGATGTGATGAGCCAAGATGAAGCCAAGTCCTTCCCGGGAGGTTCTCCCGGTCTCCATCCAGGACCTCACGATCATCCCATCATGGGATGATAGCTTAGTTCAACGTCAACTGCCAAGTTGATTTAGGGACGTTTTGCCAGGTGCGTGGGGAGAGCTGGTGCAACATCGTCCCAAATCCCACGTGGAAGCTGGGATCTCGAGACTTCACGAGTCCCACTCTGGAACTGTCAAGTATTTTGTTACAGGATTTCCACCAATCATGTGTCGACTTTCTGGTAGTGGCTTACGTTCGACCAGAAAGGGGATGGAAAGCGAAATAACGGTCGACCGTGCTGAAAGGGTTGAAGCGTCTGCCATCTGAAACTCTGAAATTCCACACATGGGCCGAACCGCCGCCTTTGCGAAAGTTGAAGCGTCAACTGCTCCCATAAAAGTCAAAATAGGGGATACCGAACCAGAATTTCCGGGAAATCCCAGGTGCCAGGGTAGCACGCGCGAGTGTTCTCCCCCATATTTGACGGGTTATTTATGGAAGAAATCAAAGGCAGAGCCGCAGAACAGTCCTTGCGTCTCGGTACCTAGCCGCTGAGAATTCATCTACTTGTAATCGTCCGCGGGAGCACTAGGGAATAATCTGGCCCGACGTTCTTGAGAAGCTTATTTCAAAGACCCTCACCTAAGACTTTGGTTATTGGGCTTTGGCGGTTCGACGGAGTATTAAGTAAATTGTTTTCTCACGGCGTGCAGGAGGAGTAAAACAGTCAAGCGCTGCACTCCTTTTACGGGTGATTTTCTATGAGGAAGTCGGTCTTGACCGTACCAGTCAAGCCAGTCGAAACCCGAACTCAAACTCATCACTCCTCGTCCTTTGAAATCAAAACAGACATATCATTCTACGCTTCCGAATCGGGCCAGAATCAAGCTGAGCGGTGAAACGCAAAGGCCAAATACGCAGTGATACTTCCAGTCAGCAGCACATACCAAGTACTTCTACTTCCGAGATAAAAAGCATTGGGGTCAATGGATATGCCCAGTCGCTGACTTCGATAAGCTTGGCTCAACCCTTACCCAATTTAGATGTGACGACTTGACCATCAGCGCTTATGCTTATTTAATTGTCTACGATACATGCTTAACAAGGATTGCCAGGTAGGCAGCTAAGCGAACCTCGTGTTACTTCGTACTTGTCGGACATGAACTGTTCGTCTTTTGTCATAGCTTGTTATCCCTTCCAGGCTCGAAAGCAGCGAAAAAGAACGTGCACCTAAAGTGTGGAAAGGGGGTCCGCTATTACAATATCTTCCCCGTAAAACAAGGTTGTATGGCCAACCCGGCCACATTTCCAAGCATTTAAGCTTCAATCGAACCCACTTTACATCTACTTTAAGTGCACGTCTTTTTCGTCGCTTTCGGGTCTGGAAGGGGTATTTACTAAGTTTTTTCAACGTCTTGCGATGTGGCTGTGCTCTTTACAAAATTCAACATGATCGGAGGGATGGTTTCTTGGAAGATGATCGCATAAGATCTTTCGTTTTCTCCTGTTCTACTGGTATCGTTTCTGAGTTTGCTTTGGTGATGTCGATCTTCCAGTATTCTTCAACCGCTTCAAGAATTTGGTCTTAGCGGCGAGATACTCTCCTGTAACATGATGCATAGAATTCACCCCTTTTCATATGACCTACAGTTCTATAGGTACTGTTGCCAACTTATCTTTTATGATGGTTCGTTCGTTTAGTTCGTTTAATTAGTTCAGTTCTGAACACATGGGCTCGAATCAGATTGGTTCAGTATCAAGGTATAATGGAATATTCGTGTATCCGATAACCACAATCTTCTGGGATGGTTCTGGTCATGGTTGAGTGGGAAAAGATAATGCCTCTAAAATCGTATTGTATCGAGGCTTCACAAATTCAAAGCCACAAAGAGACGGAGTATTTAAAATTTCGCTTCAAACAATTGAAGTGTTTTTACAGGAGCTCGTACTGCCGATCCAGGACGAACATGTCGATTGAAGATCCGGAGATCATCTGCGCTTCAGTGATTGCTGACGGCCTGTATCAGTGCGTGGAACTAAGAGCAAACCTTAAATTACGCGGTATGTTGCTTTGATCAAGCTAGGTGCTCGTATGTTGAGCGGTTCAAAGGTTGCGGCAAAATCCCTAAGAAGAGTCAATGGGCATTCCTGGATTTTCTGTGTTCGCTTGTAGCATTTTTTACCTTTTCTCGGATTGTATGTCCACTTCTCAGCCACGTTCTACCGGTATCCTGGCCATGCTCCTTAATATAAAGTCATAGGCGAGTGGCGCAGAGGGTACCGCCATCCAAATGGCCTAAAGTTAATAACAATACTAGAAACTTATTCTTTGTTGTATCATCAGATGAATCTACCGGATTTTAGTTTCTCGAGCTTTTCAGTAAAGTTTTATGTATATAGCGACGCGATGATCGGTATTCTTGGCAGTATTCCTGTTGTGCTAACTTCCCACGATACTTCTTCAACTATTTCCAAACGGTCAGAAGAATCAAGGGGAACTTTTCAGACGTTTTGAGAAAGTTGCGTATAAAGTGATTGTTGAGATCAACATTTCAGATTCGTCTGTGCTAACGTGATAGCAATAAGGGAGATCAACGGTTTAATTAATTCAAGTTGTAGTTAAAGCGATACAAGCTTTTGATCTCGTATCTGAACGCAATCTCACATATATTTGCAACAACAATTGAACCAATTCGGGGTTGATGACTCAAGCTAACCCTATCATCAAATACTGAAAAAAGCTCCTGATGAAATCCCGTCAGAAAATGCAAGTTTGAAGGGAATGACAGAAGCTTCCAGTTTCATAACTTCAAAGCTCCTGTTGGTTTGACTTTATTGTCAAATATGAGGTGTAATATAGGAAGAGGCTAAACCTTAGTATTAGACTATTCCTATTATTAATGTACACCGAGTCAAAGGTGTGGAAGTCGTACCGCCATAATATAGGCAGGACTAGCCTAGTCAGGTGTGTCACGAATCACGTACTCACGTGATACTTGTCATAATAAGAGGCGCAACCCTCGACAGGCACACCCAGGTTTCTTATAGCAGAAAGGGATCCTTAGACCAGCTAAGCGATCCAGGGATTTTCATTGATTGGAAAGGTCACGTGACCTGGATCTTTTGGATCGTAATGATCCACGATCCAGGAGCGTAGATCTGCATGATCCAGTACGATCCACGAACATGAAAGGATCTATATAAGACTGGCACGTCTGCCATTAGATAGGAGCTTCGTGCTCAACTTAGTTATCAATCTTATCATATTAGTTTGACATCTTTGATACAAGTAACGAGTTCACTTCCAAGTGAACAACCCGATAGTCTTCTTCTTATCATAGCATACCAACCAGCGAAAACCCAGCCAAGTTTATTTAGCCAGTTTGAGTATTCGTTACAAATAGCTATAGAGTTTCTTATACTAAACTTAATTATAATATTACTTAGTTTTAATAAAGAACTATTAATTAAATAGTATATATAATATTAATTATATCTAACTAAGTTAGAAGTAAACGTACTAGTATTAATTATAATACTATAAAAGTTCTTAGGTCTCTAGTATAATAGTATTATAAGTGGAAGTACCTTATCTATTATAAGTACTACTATAACTCTAGAATCTTAGCCTTCTATAATCTTTAGGTATATAATATTAAAATCTAAGTTAGTATATAGTAGATATATAGTTTAAATAGTTAATAAGCTATTTTATGTTAGTATTACTAAGCGTATTAATTATAAAATACTCTATAATACTATAGGAAGGTATACTCTTACTCTTACTCAAGTTATTATTACTTAAACTTAAATTTAATAATAAATTACTATCTAAATCCTTAAGACTTATTATATATATTAGAGTAATTAATTTACTTATCTCCTAAGACTTAAACTAGGTAATAAAAGTACTATACTACTTATTAAAGTCTCTTTTATAATAATCTCTTTTAAACTTACTATAGAACCTAGTTTAAAACTTATTCTTCTAAGAATCCTATTCCTCCTATAAGTACTCAAATAACCTATAACCTAGCTTCTTATATATCTACTTATAGAACTATTATTTTTATACTAATTACGTCTATAGTAGGTTCTATTTATATAATATACTTCTACTAAAGATATAAGGTAGTTCGTAGATTATTTAGTAGAGTTTATTATATAAGTTCTTTTAATATAACCCTTTTTATAGGTTATTCTAGTTTAAAACTTACAGCTTAATATTACATTTTTAAAATTAGATTTAAAGTTTAAAATTATATTCGAAGGGTTTATAATAACTATTTTATGTTTAATACTCTCTTAAGTATTATAGATAATACTCTAGTAAAAGTTATTAGCTTATTAAAGTAATAAACTTAATCCTAGTCGAATCTCTTTTAAGTTAAATTACTTATTATAATATTAAAATATTATAACATTATCTTATCTAGATTCTCTCCTTTAATATATTTAAGTATATATTTATTTTATCGTTCTATAAATATCTCTTATAACCTAGGGTTTTAAAGTTATCTTATACTACTTATATTATATTTATAAAATTAAAGTTTTATCTAAGAATCGTATAATAATAATAGTCCGATATAGCTGCCTTAAGTATAATTAGAAAAGCCTTTATAAGTGTTGGTACGACCTGGTTGTCGTAAAGGGTGATACACAAACATAATCTCTCTTTGTATTCATTCGTGTATGAAGAGTAAAGGTAAAGAGAGGTGGTACCCTAAAAGCTTAAGTAT